ATCTCATTGGACTCTACTTATCGGCAAAATATCGGCTTAAAAGCTTTGAATCACTTCGAACGGTTCCCTCGTTAGTAGATATAGAACATTTAATAAAGTACGCATTAACTATCTTCATTTTCAAGATAAAAGAGGTTGTGGGTGGGGGTGGGGTGGGGATGGGGATGGGGATGGGTTCATTCTTCTCTTATCCCACACCCCACCCACACCCAAATCTGTATAAAAGAAGAGTATGTTATCTCAAAATCAAATGCTGGATTTTGTAGAAGATTTAATTCTCTATTAGACAAACTTATTTTGAAAAATTTGGATGATTAATTACATCGAAAAAAATAAGCGTTACAAAAGTGGCTCATTCTTTATGCACAACCAATTTCACATATACCAAAATAAAAACAATAATAGAGGATTTTATGAAACAAAACAAAACAAAACTTGTTATTCCAAAATGGTCTTTGACTACGTGAAAAGAAACTTTATTTCGGTTTGTACGAAAATAGATAACTTCTTCTATAGAAGAACATTTTTCAAGAGTGCAAACAGTGTGCATTCAAAAGAGATTTTATCGTATTTGAATTTTTTGTTGGCCACTAAAACTCATCAAATCCAAAGTTTTCACATTCGGACTTGAACCCGACAGTCTTGACTCGTCAAAATTATAGTAGCACTATCACATATTCTTTAATTTTAAATCATATCAACAGATGAAATCACTCTTTTTGAAAAAAAAACAAACAAACTTTAAAATGTTATCTGAGCTCGGCTTTTTAGCTATGGCATTTGAAAAAGAAACTATATTCTTACCAAAGTCCGTACGATGTTAATAGGTATTTACTTTCATATACAAGCATGTAATTAAACTGTTGATACTGTATATGTCTTTGCAAGAATATGATACAGATATCTCAATAATATGTCATTTTAAATCAGAACATATTTTCTATTCAAATTTATTGTCAAAAAATTGATTCCGCTTCTCTTTTAAATTTCACAGACAAATTTCTTCGCCTCAACGATATTTTCAAGTCATTTCATCTTGATGAATAAAATTTGGTATTCAATGCAAATATAAATTATTTTTCAAAAAGAAATATTCCATATTTTTATATAACTTTCAAATAAAACTAATATTGATGTTAGTTAAAACTAAAAAATATATTATAGTACAACTATAATTTTGACTAGGAAAAACTTGATTGATTATTTATTAAGTCAACATTTTTGTTTGTCTGAAATTTGGTAATAGTATTAAAAAAAAATTGATTATACAGTTGAATAGAGCATACTTAAATGTATGTAATTACATTGAGTTTTCTGTTTTCAACAGTCAAAAGCAATCAAAAGAGAATCAATAATTATCCTCAAGTGGATTGTTCTCTAAATTTGCTTGGTACTGTAAAAATAAACTGATTTGCGTCGAAATTTTGTCATTAATCAATGAGCCTTGTAATAGGCTTCTTCTTATATGTCCTAGCTTAATATTGAAATTTTACTAAAGAAAACATCACAATTTCTTTATGATGATATAACGACATTAAATAAAGGAAAATGTTGAATATATTATATTTGTGATAAACATATACGCAAGAAGAATTACATTAATTTAATTTGATATTTTGTGTTCATTTAGGCTTCCTCTTTGATTTATTCGACGAATTAAATTTCATCGCTTCGGTACACGTCTAGTGAATGATGCAAATTAAACGAGACAATATCATTTTGTTTTTAATGTACTGATATACAGTTTCAGAGGATCATCTGATACTAACATTTTTCTTCTACAAACTTGTTGTATTTGTTTTTCAAGGAAATTCTGCATCTTTCGATATAGCATAGAAGACCAAATTTGCTAGAGTAATCATGAAGTAAAAATTGGAAAAAAAAGTCTTTGTCTAACGTGATTGTTCATTTGTTTTTATTTCGATAAAACCGAATCATTTGCACTCTTGAACTCTAGTAATCACAGCGTATTACTTGAATATGCATAGAAAAATTATCAGTAGATTTGCGTTTCAAACTTCTTTTTCATGAAGGATCATAGTACCTGCAAAAAGGTCGTAGAAGTGGAGAACATAAAGACTTACGGTAGAAAATCGAAAATCATAGTTAGATGTTTGAGCAAGCGTCCATATTTTTAATTTTGCTTTATTATAAAAAAATTTATGTGAAAAACAAACGATACAGTTTTGTAAAACGAAAAATTCTCTATTGAATAACTTTCTGAAAGTGTGTTTTATTCAGCTTAAAGGCAGAGAGGAAGCATTCTTCCATAATTTTGTGGTTATTGTACCATGTATTTATGCTCCTAAAAATAGGTGTTCGCTCTCCCGGAATTTTAAGTCACCCTTCCGGAAGAAAAAATCCGAATAAAACATTGATTGGGATGACCTAAAAAAGGAAATCATGTTGTCTCATTTAATATGCATCATCCGATATACGAACAAACATATGCTACGAAGTGAATAAATTATTCATTTTAAATAATTTCGTTCTTTTCGATATAGTTGTCTTAATGCATTATCTGACTTTTTTTGATTATCATGTTATAGTAGATCTCAATAGTTACAGTGGCCTTGACATCGAAAAATACTATCCTTCCTTCTTCCTCGTTTTTTTTTTCAAAAAAACAATCCTCTGAGATTTTCTCTTCGAAATTTCATTATTATAAGTCACTTAGAATATGTTCTTTACTAGTAGATGTAAACTTTTAAATCAAAACATTGAATCATATTATATCGAAATGAAACAATAAGCTTAAGCGTTATCATAAATGTGTGAACCTACACACTAAATTCGTCATTTTTTTTTTTTTTTGTAAAACAAGAAAGATATGTGATAAGAATAATAAATGAGTATTGTTAAAATTTCTCAATTAAATAACTTAGTTTACGAAACAATTTGGCTATCTATTATATCATATTTTAGTGTATTTCATACTTGAAACATTCCTATAAACGTCTTTAAAGGCCGAATAAAATTTCATGTTCTGAAAATACAAAGCGAAATATAGTTTTGACATACTTAGTTGATTAACATTCTCTGATTCGGATGTTGAACCAACAAAAGAATCCTATGAGTTTTATTCAATTAGATTTTTTTCTATCTTTCAAATAAAAGAATCAAATCTTAAAACGTTATTTTTCTGTCTTATGATTATAACAATGAAATGAAGAAATATCTACAAAGGAAAAAAAAACATGAACGCTTTTTTTTTGTTTGTATTTTTATGTCAATTAAAATCACTAAATCATTCTTCGATTTCTTTCATTGTTTATTAACAAGTTCCGATTACCAATTGTAAAAAGAAAGTCATGTAGAATGTCATCGGAAAAAATCAATTCATTTGAATCGAGTGTTATACAAAAGAGAGAAAAGTTGGATGGCGGGCTATTTATTTTTCTCTTGTTCGGGAACAAAAAGAAAATATTTAGTCAATCTTATTTTGTTTTCTATTTCGACCTGATATATTCAATGGTAATTTATCAGCTCCGTGTTAAACTATTGTTCGTTGGAGCCGATGCTGATCGTCCATTGAGACTAAATAGACCAATGTAACAAAGACAATATATTTATGAGGTTTTATTTCAAAAACATTTTACTATTGTAAACGGGAGATAGAGACAAAAGAGAAATGGTCACCGCCAACGCATATAAGAAAATAGTAAAGGAGAGAGAGAGAGAGAGTTATGTGTGATTTGTATGACAAACGAGAATGAAATAAACAGCGACAATAAGGAAAAAAATAGATAGACCTTTTCATGACGATTTTCTCGAGAATCTCCTTTGGCTTTGATGTCCGATCTTCATCGGCTCTTGTTAAACGAGAAAGAGAAAGAGAGAAAGAGAGAAGAGAAAATTTTTCTTCTTGTTTTTTTTTCTCTCACAATCGATTGTCTAGAGATTCATTTCGATCTTATTATATTCCGTCAAGTTAAGCCGTCATTTTTTTTTTTTGTAGATATCTATATATAATTTGTTCTTTTATTCCAGAAATCGACATTTCAGCACAAGCTTCCAAATCCTCTTTTTTCATCTAAAAAGTCAATCAAGTTTTTTTATCAAGTCAAACATGTTTACTTGCTTCGTACGGTTTATTTTATGTCTTATCGTTTGTTTTACAATTGCTCACGCGTATCCGCCATTAATGAGCAGAGCCAAATGGGTAATTTTTTTGTCATTATTCTAATGTATTTTATAAAAGATATTATTATAATTTGTTTTTGTTTTGTGAAAATATAACTAATCTTATGGAATATTTAGTAAAAGAAAACAATCTATTGTTCAAAATTTTAGCTAGCAGAACATGCTGCAAGACCTCACGAAAATCAAGATGGAGAAGCATATGATTATATTAATTTGGTAAACGGAAATGATAATGGTAAGAAGTTAAAACTTAGTTCTATATGAATTGATAGTTAATTTGATTTTTTTTTGTTAAGATGTAACTGGTAGTAATGGTTTTCCGACATGGCTAGTACGATCACGTAAATTCTGCTGTGCACCACCATTGTAACTTCATCATAGATCAGCAATAAGGAAACAAAAAGAAAACTATTAATATATTATTTGATGTTTACAAAAAAAGAAAAGAAAAACAGATCTTGACATAAAATGAAAATAAACATACAAACTATACAAAAGAAAAATACATAGAATCATTAATATATATGTACGTTTTTATTGTATTAGGATATCACCGATCATATTATTGTTGAATGTAAAATATCATCATCCTGATCTTGTGAATAATTAAGTAAAGGACGACTTAAATCTATTTCAGGATCAATAAGATAATCTTCATCATCATCATCATTGATAGTTGAATCTGCATACATTACTTGCGGAATGAGAGTTTGCGCACTTAAAGAGAAAAATATAGATATATTGATATAATTTAAAAAAAAAAAAGGAAAATCTACCTTAAAGCTCGTCGTAGAAATTGATGATAAACAAATGGTGCAAAACAAATATAAAATATACATGTCGTACCATCAACAATACTAAAAAAAAAAATTATTTTAAAATCTTTAAAATTTTATCTTAAACAAAAAGTTTTAAGGGCACATTAATCTATTTACTGTGATTTATTCTTAAGTTACTGAATTATCAAAACTAATCAATTTTCTAACTTTTTTGTGATACATGATTTTTTTTTTTAGTCATCTAAATTCTTAAGAATTAAAGGATTTGTTTTGACTGAAATTAATAGGATATTCGATTAACCATGAGACCTCTCTATAGGCAAAATACCATCGTTCAATGTTTCCATAAATGCCTTGCCTGAAATAAAAAAACTCAGTGAGATAGTCAGTCATAGGTCAGCTTGCAGGCAAAATATAAGCTTTAAGTCGAGGGAATGCTTCGAGCTCTTCCCTTGTGAGTACTCTATCGGATGCAAATAGTATCTTTAAACGTTAACAAAAATCAAATTATACATTGTTTCGTGTTTTTCTCAAAAACAACTTTTTCAAGAAAACAAAAGTGCAGAAATGCTCCCTCCCCAGATCACTGGTGTGCTATGGCAAACTTTTTTTCACATACACTCTAGACACTATCTAGGATGGGTGCGTTTTTTAGAGTACCTTCGATATTTCGTCTTTTTTTTTTTTCTTCGAAGGATGAAAAAGAAATACCCATTCGAAACAATGTTTAGAGTCTGTCAAAAAAAGGAAATTTCAGCTCGATCGAACATCACTTCTAGTAGAAACATGGGTGCCATTGTGATCCAAATATCCAATAGAAGACAGCATGTGAGATGACAACTTTTGTTCTACTATCTACTCTGAATATTTCAAATTTTTCTAATAAGGTGTTTTCCGAAAAACAAGGAGAAGATAGCGGATATTCTTAAACAATATTTCTCTTTTTCTTTGCGTGTATATCGAATAAATAGTTACAATATCAATCATATTATATCGTCTTCATATTTAATAAACTTACCACATGCTATATTTAGTAGTTTCGGTTAAATTAAAAATTGTTGCGATTATTTGAATACCATTAATAAATGCCATTATAAAACAATAGATATAAAATGATCGACGAACTATAAAGAAAAACAAAATAGCGATTATTAATAATAATAGTCGTTAGTTTTTAATCGTACTTGGTAAATATTTACGATGTTGATGACATAAAAATGGTAGAAAAAAGATAATAATGTACATCTAATAAATAGATTATTTAAAAACAAAAAACAGATTTAATTACTAAATTTAAACTTACAATAAGAAAAATTGAACTTGATATAAGAAGAAATTTCATTCCACCATAGGAATAAAGATTATAATTTGTTATTTGAAAACTACTTGGACGTGTATCACCACGAAATTCAAGTATAGCCTGTAATAAATAGTTTTAAATTTACAAAAAAAAAATGCAGCTTTTTACTTGTGTTATGGTATAAATTAAAGAACAAATTGATGAAATAATTAAAATTTTTATTGTTTTCATCCATGGTCGATTTGGACTTGAACGACCTTAATAAATAAATAAATAAATAAATAAATAAATTTATATTGAATTTTATTTCCTACCGAAATAAATGCCAAAAACCAGAAGACTTAATTCAGTACATAAAAGTGTAAATCGAACAAGTAACCAAAGAATCTAAACAAACGAAATAAAAGCATCGTTCTATTTTTTGTTTGTTTGTTCATTACTTTTAAAATAATTCCTTTGGCATATGATGTTTGTTCGGCAAAAATCATTGCGTATAAACATCGTATTATATTGACAAATGAAACAATAAATATTAAACAACTGACTGTAAATAATAATGGTTTACTTGAATTTAATTTTGTTCGTGTATGATTCCATTTAATAATAAGAAATAGAAGAAATATAAGATTGGGTATGAGAATAATGAAATCAAAATAACGAATTCTAAGACGAAAAAATAAAGATTCATTATATAGGGTGTACCAAAATTATAAGACCCCCTTTTATTTTTGAAGTTTTTCCACAAAAACGGACAGCTAGATAAAATATAAATAGTGATTTGGAAAGCCCTTGAAAATCTCTATCGAATATAGTATGAGCCAGAATTTCTAAAGAAACTTAGTGAAGAGAGTTTTCCAGAAAACCGTTTCACCTAAAAATCGAGTTTTTGAGAGTTTTGACAAAAAAGTTTTTAAATATAGTCATCTGAAAGAGCAAAAAATTCTGAGCAAAATGAGTGGTTGCCCAGCTCTCCACNTTTTTCTGGTGCTTATAACTTTGCGAGGAAACATCGTGGAGAGCTGGGCAACCACTCATTTTGCTCAGAAGTTTTTGCTCTTTCAGATGACTATATTTAAAAACTTTTTTGTCAAAACTCTCAAAAACTCGATTTTTAGGTGAAACGGTTTTCTGGAAAACTCTCTTCACTAAGTTTCTTTAAAAATTCTGGCTCATACTATATTCGATAGAGATTTTCAAGGGCTTTCCAAATCACTATTTAGATTTTATCTAGCTGTTCGTTTTTGTGGAAAAACTTCAAAAATAAAAGGGGTCTTATAATTTTGGTACACGCTGTATCTTTTCTTTGTTTTTGTAAATATTTATTCATGATTACATTTTTTTTTCTTTTTTCTTTGTCTAATGCAATCATTTTGTAACCTGCACATATCGTACGGGCGTGACAAAAAAAAAGAGGGAAAGAGAAAGAAAAAAAAACAAGGTTGCCGACGAATTGGTTGCTTCTATATATAAAACTGCGCCGTGTATAGTATTTAGACGTTTTTTTTTCTGTTCTTATACCAGTAATATTTGCAATGTACGAGTTACTCTTGAACGGTAGCGAGAGAACGACATTTCATTTTTTTTTTGTTTAAGTTTTTATCATCCTTCAATAATGTAAAAACAAAAGATGTATTCATTTTTTTATATTTTTCTTCTAGAGAAAACATGGGAAGTCTTCCTGGTCACTTAGTTCCGGGCTCAATATTTCTTATACTCGGTCTATGGTGGATGTACTCAGCATGGTTACGTTATTTTGTATGTCGTCAACGTCGACGACCATACTATGTAACAACATTATTTCCATGCCATTGTTGTGGTGCACGAGTTGCCAGGATACCTCTTGAAGCATTTTTTGTTCTATTCGGTACAACATTAGGTATTCTGATTGAATTAATTGCTGGATTTAATCGTGTAGTTGATCCTAAAACGGGTGCTACATCATTTTATGAAGGAGCAAATAATCTTCAACATTTCTCTATGTATTTAATGTTTTTCTTAGTTGGATTAATTACATTATTAACTCATTATAATTTTCCATTACCAAAAAATTTTGATGTTGCTGCTGGTTGTTTAGCATTTACAGCTGAAGCTCTTCTCTTTTATTTTCATGGTCATGCTCGTGATGCTGTAGAAATTTTGATACATGTTTTTCTTGTTTTAGCTATATGTGCTACAGTTGTATGTGGTGTTTTTGAATTAATTCAACAAGAAAAACAAGTTCATGCAACTTTAATGCGTGCATATTTTACTGTTATACAAGGTGCATGGTTTTATACAACAGGTTTTTTTCTCTATAGTCCATTTCATGAACATTATCAACAAAGTAAAGATCCTGATGAACATCGTACATCAATGTTAATTGCTTATTATTTTTCTATTCATATGGCTGTTACACTTTTTATATTACTTGCATTAGCTATACCAGCTTATTATGCTAGTAAACGTCAACATCAAACAATAGATTTTGCAGAATATGGAAATTTTTCAATGATTAATAATGATGAAGATGAGGAAATGGAAAAATTAAATGGTACAACAACAATACAATAAAAGAAAAAAAAGAACTTACTTTGATGAAAAGATTTTTTCCGTCCGAAATCGCACACATATTGGAAGTGGTAATATAGGATACATAGAACCACTTTCATTATTATTACTTGATATAAAATTCATTGAATATAAAATAAAATTATATCATCTAAAATTGAGATTAGTGAAATAATAAAAAAAAAGAAAAAAGAAAATGGAATGAATAAAGTAGGTCAATTTCGAAAAAAAGAAAAATATGCACTGATCATTAGCAAAGAAAGAGAAAAAAAAAACTATGAAGCGAAGGAGGAATGTTTTGTTTGATTGTTTTAGTTACGAAGTAATTTTCGAATCCAATCTTCATAATTAATAAGACCATTTTTATCTTCAAAACCAGATAGTAATTGTTCAACTTCTTCATCTGATAAACGTTCACCAAGATTTGTTAATAGATGTCGAAGTTCAGCTGATGAAATACTGCCATTTTGTTCTTTATCAAATACTTTTAAACCTAAAATTAAATATAAATAGATCTTATAGAAAATTAATATTCAATTTTATTTCTTCTTCTAACTGCATTGTATTTAATTGAACGAAATATAATTATATGCTGAAAATCTTATGAACTTAAATTAGAGATCACAGGAAATAAATTTTGCTACGACCGGCACTACAAAACAAACATTATTCTAACCGGAATTATATATTCTATGACTCTAAGCAAATTATCTTATTAATCACATCAATCAGAATATAATTTAAAGGAGGTGTTCGAAAAAAAAGTGTTAAAAAATAAATTCAGAAATAATTCTCTCTAGACCAGGACTGTAACTATGATCCAGGCTGAAGCCGAAAAAAAAACAAATCGATCCCGTAGATCAGTAGCCTATGCATTGTTGTTTTTTTTTTTGTATGGATAATGTGTTGAAAACTTATTTCATTAACAAAAGGTTGAGTTTTGAATAAATATTGATGTTTATTTAATGATAAACGTCGATTTGTTCTTGTTATCTTATTTAGTTTGAGTGTAACATATAAATGATATTTCATAAATTTTGAAATACGATCAAATTTAAGTTCTATGTAAACAAAAAATAACACCTACGCAATTATATCTATATAAACTTGAAGTTTTAAAAAAAAAATTTCGTATGTTTTATTATTAAGTTATGTTATCTTTCTTAGTCAGATACGAACATAAACGTATGAAGTGCAATTATCGAAGTTGTAATGTCAACTAGCTATTTCGTTTAGAGGAATATTTCATACAATATGCAATAGATTTTATATGAACTTAGTATCTAATAGAAAATGATATGTATTTAACGTGATTACATATTTAACAAGTTTGCTGAACTTTTATTGAACGTCATCATTCATGCTTTGCCTCCGAATAAACTGTCGACAAGAAAGAAAAACAATCATATTTAGTCAAGTCCAGACGTTTGATTTTATATTTAATATGTCTATGTTTTCGTCATCGTCGATTGATTATTTACGGCATAAGTGAAATGATCACGTGAACTATGACTCATATAGTTTACAGAGAACGATAGGAGGAGTATGAGATATATATATACATATAGGAGATTATATGACAATAGTTCGTGATTATTCAGCAAAATGAGAAAATTTTATAATAGTCCCATAAAACATGTTTGCACATACTCATGTTACCGCTTACATATGAAAATAAATTAACTCTATATCTTTCGATTTATTTATATAAAATCTGTTGAGCATTTTATAAAAAAACTTCTTAAGCTCATATAACAGGACAATATATACTTTCAAAAAAAATTTTTTTTTTTCAAGTAAGTTCTGAAATAGTAAGCGAACTACTAAAAATCTGCATGTTTTGATATATGAGCAGAAATATTTGCGAGAGAAGAATCATTAAGTAAAACCTTGGAAAAAAGCCTTCTCTCACAGAACTACGTGTTTGTTCATTTTTTTCCTCATACAAATAGAATCTGATCATTTGTGTACTCTTCAATTTACCAGTGACAACATTTGTTCGAAATTAAATTCTATATCCGACAGTACGAGAATGACTGTTTCATACAGCAAGTCTTGCTTTTGAAAAAAAAACACTACTTATTCGTTTTAAAAACTTTTTTACGTGGTAGAAGCTGAGAGCACAAAATTTTCTATCCTCTGGATTGATCTAAAAAAAAAGAAAATGATATTGTCTCATTTAATCTATACTATTCGTTAAATATAATTAGGTCTATGTATTTCATATTCATACTTAGAAGAAACTGTTATAAACAAATGAAAACTAGTCATAACTACTATGAAATGAGTTTAAACCAAGATATAAGATTATTTGATAAGAACAAATAAAAAACTAAAATATTTCTATTAATAATTTTTCCTCTATAATATTGATTATGATGTCTTTCCTCTAGAGTAATCCTATAAGTGAAAACAGTTTTTAGTGATTCTCAATCTGTCTTAATATGATTATTAATGTATGTTAACTTAATAGAAAATCCACTTAATGGAGTTTCAACTCGAGTGTATGTGTGAAAGGTAGAGACCTGCGGAGTCAACTTTTTTCATTCCGAAACCCGACTCCGACTCCGATTCCGAAATCTTTCTTTTTATGACTCCGATTCCAACTCCAATTCCGAAAATTTTTATTTTTTGACTCCGATTCCGACTCCAAAAAACTCCGAAATTTTTTAACAATGTCATTTAAAAATAAAAAGTTCTCAGCAGCCAAAGGACTCTTTAATGACTTAACATGCGCACGTTTTACACTTAAAATCTCAAGTTTCTCTTTAAAAAAAACCAGTTTATGGATGTTATCATCTTCAAAGTCGCTTTTTCCCCTCAAAAAAACCTTTTTGAATGTGTAAAAAATCCA